CCCCCCCCATACTCTCGGGAGTAAAACATTAAAGCGCGGTACTCGATCAGCCATCGGCAACTTCCAACGACGCTGATTGCCATATTCAAATTTGTATAAGGTCATCTCCTTATACTATATCATCGGTATCAGGTGATTAAATTTGGATCAGCCCCTTACCATTGTGGAGGGTTCAACTTATGGAATTAAAACAACTTTAATCATTTTTTCACATGTTTTTTGTTTCCTAAACTATATCACACGCACATGCAACGACCCCAGGAAAGTGACACACCCTAAAAAAAAAAACAGCAAACAACAAACAGTTGGTACCATAGACACGACCTTTGGGAACAATGAACGTCGATTTGCATGGTAAATTTAGAATGTGATGTATACTGTATTATTTTGTGATATCGATCAAACGCTTAACACATGGAGGCGGTTATTTATCTCAATGGTAATGACAAATTTGAATTCTCATTATTGAAACACGATTCCTGTCCTCTTTCTTTGGTAATATTGAAGCTGTTTTTCCAACATTCATGTATGCTTTGAGGTAAATTTAGGAGGTCAAACTGCAGTGATTAGTTCATAAAATTCTCTCGACCTTTTCAACCAAACAAGCAAACGTTCGGTTTATAAAAATGTTGTTTCACGCCAGCGCACGAATAAGACTTCAGTCACGTGACCAGCCGGTATAAATTATCAGCTACTCAAACATCATGCCTTGTTATTCAAGCAAATCCTTGTTTTTCAAGTAAATCCTACTTTGCATGGGTTTTGTTGTATTACTAAGCCTGCATGGGGTAAAAGTGCCGCGTCTTGTACTTCATGAAGAAACAATGAACACTTCTACAGTACCTCACGCATCTTGATGAAAATGTCTATTTTTGTGGTGGTAAGGCATCCTTCATGACGTCACGTTGCACCAAAATGACGTCATACACTGTAGAAAATGCTTCAATTCATATATTTATATAAGAATTGCGGCCACTTAGCAGGGGCAACTTATTTCTCACAAAAGCTCTACAAAAGATGGCTCAGAGTGACAGGAAGGGGAGAGAGAGTTCCTCCCAAACAAGGACAACTTTTTCTATATCCTGAACAGCCCATTCACAAAAGGTTGACATCGCCCCGGGCACTTTTCGTCTCACCGTAGGCTGAATAGTTTGTAACTCGGAGAAGTAATGGCGTCGTTTGTTTCTTTCGCTGCAAGACTAACAAAGTCAAAATTGCCCACTGGTTAAATCTCATCAACTAGGAGGCAAAAAGTAAGTTATTCTTATCACTTCGCTCGCTGATGTGAAAATTGGAAACCAAGTCAAAAGTGGAAGGTACAACTGTACCCCTTGCCAAACAAACCAAATTAAGATCATCCATAACTATATAGTAAGGCCCATAAATCAGCAACATTACAGGGCGGCCAAGCACAGTAAGTGAGCGTTATTGTCATTTTACGAGGTAGAGACATATAGCCGAGTTCAACCCTAATTAACTATACGGAGCATGGTTAATAATTACTCATGACCTTTGTGTGAGAGATCGTATGGAAAATAAGAGCTTCGCTTCTTGGGGTGGAACAACAAGCCTTAATTTTTCCATGCGATCTCTTACAATAGGCTTGAACTAGGCTATATGTCGTTACTTCAGTCGTAAGTGACAATCACTCGCACATACTAAGCTTGGGCTACCCGTGGCAACGTAACTTTAATNCGCTAACGTGATATGAAGGACATTATAATGCATTCTGAGGTAGATAAAGATAACCTGATGACTGCCAAATAAAAAATTTTCGCAATTGGACGCTAAAAGGTTTGGTAATAGAGACCGGCTCAAGATAATTAACTGATAGTGTTTTGTTGTAAAACATGTCCATGAAGGAAACGCCAAAAATAACAGTTCACTTCACACGCCAAACTGATCTTTCGGCAAAACGTCTATCAGTGACATCTAAAATAAACTTGCCGTATTCTGAATAGTTGCAAGACAGAGTTGATTTAATTTAGTTTCTGCGAGTAAAGTCCTGGTGAAACGGTCAGAAAGCTGTCCAAAGCGTCCACTTGTACGTCCATGATCATTTTCAATTGTATATTACGTCCGCAGAAAAAAAAAGACCGTCGAAATTTTGCACACGCATGCAGCTAATACGAACCTCTACACCTCTATAGTTGTCATATTTTTCGTACTGGCGTCGTGTTTACTGTACAGCTAATGTTCCAAACTGTTCATCCACCTTAAGTTCCACCTTTCTCAAACCTCTTACCCTGTATTTTGGGAGTGGAAGCCTCAGTTTGTGTATATGGAAGCAAACAGATGCGTAAAAGGGGTGTAAGGTCAGTGATTAGAAATAAACACCGTCTTGACAAGTTTACTTAAGAGGCTAAGGTATCTTTTCAAAACTGATTAAAAAGGAAACAATAACAAAAGCTCAAAAGGCTTCGTTCGCTTCTGTGGCTCTTGACTGAATAACCTGGTGAATAACTTGCCCTTCAAATAGCATGTTTCACTGCAATCAGCTTTAGTACCACAGTGCCTCCACTGTTTGCTGATTTTCTATTGTAGTCAATCAATTAGTTGGATATGTCAATCTAAAAGTTTGTTGTGAACTTTACATGTTTCTCAATTGGACAACAAATGGCTTGCATCGCGGTCACGTGTTAGCGCTACGTGCTTTACAACTGAAAGGCTCACAAAAGCGACGCGCAGTTTCTCTTTCACTTCCAGCGCCGGACAGGACCACAATAGCTTGTATCTTCTTTTAGTGCCCAAGATTGAAGACCTGGAAAAGGAAAATGTTCTTCAACTCGAGCGTATTATTGTACATTTTAAACAACGATTCCTCAGTAACGAATGGTGTTCGTAATAACAGCGCACAAGATTGCCTGCCACACTCTTCCACGGGGGAAACTGTTTTGAAATCCCTGGCTTATTTCGTCATTCTAATACTGTCTTTGATCGGTAATGGCTGCATTCTCCTGGTCATATACAAAAACAAAAACCTGAGAAGGAACATCAACTTTTTTGTCCTCAATATGGCCGTGTCTGATCTCTTCAACCCGTTGACAATCATGCCCGTTCATCTTGTCATGATCATTTCAGGATCTCCGTCCTGGAGGGTGCACAACCCATGGATACTGGGAAACATCTTATGCAAGCTCTGCTACTTTCTTCCTGATGTTTCCCTCACTGTTTCTATCGAGAGTCTGCTGTTGATATCAGTGGACAGGTTCATCGCTGTGGTTTTTCCGTTGAAGGCAAGACTCTTCTCAACGAAAGTGCATTTGATCTGTATTGGCTGTACATGGATAATCGCCATTGCAGTCCACGCACCTTATTTTTACACTTTCAGGCTGCTCCCCTACGGCAATGAGTCATATCAGTGTAGCGTAAGTTGGGAACCTGCATTTGACCACACAGAGACACACAAGAGATTCGTCACGGCAACTTTCATCACTTTCGTCCTCGTGCCAATCTGCATCTTAACAATCGTGTATGGCACTATAGCGTGGACTCTTAAGGCAGAAAGCAAGAAGATGCAACAGGAGTTGTGTAATCATCAAACGAGACTCAGCCAACAAAGCAGGAAAATTGTACGTAGTTCAGTTGTTATTATAACCGCTTTCGGTCTGTGTATGATCACACAGCTTGTTTCCGTGCTTACCCGTGTGTTCGTGTGGAACTGGAAAGAACCACCCATTTGTGCATTTCGCAATGTGGTTCCAATCATTGCAACCTTTATGTTGAACGCATGGAGTGCAGTAAATCCTTGTTTTTGTTTTATATTCATTAAGAGTTATCAGGTTACTCTAAGAAGAGTGCTTTGTTCCCGGCGTTCACCAGAAAACCACCCGAAGAGTTTAGATCTTACCGTACATCCCTCTACTTTCGCAAATTCGAAAATTCATAGATGCCGTTCAACAAGGGTTTGAAAACAAGGCACGACAACCGATAGGTTAATTAACTTAATCGTGTTATTCCAGTACAGTTTATCGATAAGAAGACTGAAGAAGATATTTTACAAACAATGTAAACATAACTGCCGTGCAAAACATTTCTGTTGCTTTAACGCACTAATGATTAGTTTTACAGGCATATAAATAAGCAATAGCGTCCATTTGGCGCGAAAATATGCACGGGTAGTTGTCTGCTGACATTACCCGGCTGTTCCGAGAAGCGAGTGCAGCTCGAGAAAAGCTGCGAACTTGAGGAACAGGTTATGTCCAAGGACAAATATCCGAGCAAACTTTCGCGCCAAATGGAGGCTGTTGTGTTTATAATATTCTTCAAATGTTTTTCGGATCAAATATATAGTCACGTGACGCGAACGAAGATGTTTGATGGATTAATTATAACAGTACATATTCTGTTCAATCTGTTGAATTTATATGTCTATTCCGTCTGAAGTGGGATGAGTCAAATGAGAAGGATAACATTCTGCGACACTAGGTTAGTAATGATTGCATGTGTGGCTTGAGTTATTCCAATCTTGCGGGAATCTTGAAGTAAACTGTTTATAATAAAATATAGGGGAAAAAACACCAGCTAATCGTTTTTTTATTAAAAGTAAAAGGAATTTCACACCAAATGTTTTCTTGGACAGTAGTATAACAGACGAAAAAATGAATATTAATAAACATCATATTTTCACTTCGTTCCATTTTCAGTCTCAAATGGCTTTTCGTGCTCACTCTACATGTATGTGGCACAAGATCGAACCTAAGAAGAGTTTTTGTTGATGTTGTAGTTAGCAGGGTAATTTCATATCAAGCTAACCAACACGGTAAAAATTGGCGACCGTCGTTTCGACTTCCCTTTATCCACACTAACCGGTGTTCTGAGTCTCCGACGATGATCCAAACGTACAAAGGCAATTATCACTCAAACTTGTTTTTTGAAAAATTATGCACATATCCGTAAATGTAGTTGGCAAAAAACAAAAATCTCACTTGCCTCCTCTCCATTATCTGCCGCCATGTTTAACCCGTTTTCTCTGACTTAAGTCGAAGTTGAGGTTCATGTAGTTTCGATCATGTCTTAGAAATTCGATGCATACTTCGTTCCATATCTTTCCTTTCTTCTCAAGTTGTTCTGTTACTCGTTTGGCTACAATCTTGGTCTTTGTTTGCTCTCGGTAAGACACATTGAGGCTGCAGTCACGCCAGTCAACAAGAGTATAACATTTATAAAGAATAATGTCGATGCTTTGTACTAAGTCACTTTGCCGTTCCTCGTGATTGGT